AGGACAGACAGGGCGATAGAGAGAGAGAGAGCTGAGGAGATTGGACATGTAAGGCGGTGCAGGGCTGGGTATAACATAACAGGGAATTGGGGGGGGGGGTAGGAGGCGGGGGAGGCAGGAGGGTAGTACAGGCGAGGAAAAGGAAGAAAGAAGGATGGGGTATATTTTTTAGGTGTACTTCAGGCTTGTGTTTGACACATATCAGAGCTGAAGATGGTTAAGACGAGGACAGATATATAGTTCAAAATGTTTGAGAAGCCTGTTTCCTGTTGATCAATTGACGATGCAATTTAAACAATTTGCAATAGTAGGTTGCTCATGCATCGATGTGTTCTATCTTGTTCTCTCGTGTTTGGTCTTTCATTGACAGGTCTTGCTCAATCAGGTCGGAGTTGGAAGGGGGGCTAGGTTGCACGTCTGGTTTCTCAAGATGGAGAAGCAAAAGAAAGTAGTGGACAGGTTGATGACCAAAGGAGAGCCGACTCAGGCTGCCAACGATCGCTCCAACATGCGTGGATTCCATTCCATGGCGCGAGTGAAGAACAAGCAGCCTGCGCCTGTCCAGGTGACAAGACGATCCTAAGCTTCTCGCTGCCTCGCTGTCTTAGTGATCCGTTGGCTGTCAGATCACTGCCGAACAAATCCTCAGAGAGGCGAAAGAAAGACAAGAGGAAGACCCGAAACCTCCCAAGCAGAAGATCACTGACCCCGATGAGCTCGCAGACTATCGGTGGGTCCCTGAGCCGTGCTTCTGCTCCTCACTGCTGTTGTCAGGCAACGCAAGAGGAAGGAGTTTGAAGATGGCATCCGCCGCAACCGCAACGCGATCCCTCTTTGGGTCAAGTATGCCATGTGGGAGGAAACGCAACTTGAGTTCGACAGGGCGAGAAGTGTGTGGGAGCGAGCGTTGGAAATAGGTGAGATCGGAGCTCTGCCGTCTTGTTGTCTGATTCTGGTGCACAGACTCACGGAATGTCACTATCTGGTTGAAATATGCGGAGATGGAGATGAGACATCGAAACATCAACAGAGCTCGCAACATCTGGGACCGAGCTGTGGCTATCCTGTGATCCTTAGCTTACTGAGATGCTGGTTTTGATCTTTTCCTTGCAGTCCGAGAGTGGATCAGTTCTGGTACAAGTATGCATACATGGAAGAGATGCTTGGAAACGTGGCTGGAGCGCGGCAGATCTTCGACCGGTTGTCTCAGCAGGAGCTTGCGTGCCTCGACGCTCTCCTGACTCGGCACGGCAGGTGGATGCAGTGGGTGCCGGAGGACAACGCGTGGACCTCATACATCAAGATGGAGTTGAGATACCGCGAGGTTGCGATGAAAGCTTGAGGATGGAGAAAGTGAGACGCGATGCAGGTGGAGAGAGCTCGCGAGATCTTCGAACGATTCATCTCTGTGGCCCCTAAGGTCGGTCGTCGTGTTTTGTCTTGACTGCATTCAGTTGATTACCAGGTGAGCACCTGGATGAAGTACGCCAAGTTCGAGACAAAGCATGGAACCATCCCTCAAGGCAAGAAGCCTTCCCTCTAATTCCCCATCTCCTCACCCTCTCTCGCTCCTTCCCTCCCTGATGGTTGAGCAGCGCGAAATGTCTACGAGAGAGCCATCGAAGACCTCGGCGAGTTTGCCTACGAGCCTGAGCTGCTGCTCGCATTCGCCAAGGCAAGTGATGCGTGTGAAGTTCCGGCCTGAGGCAGGAGCAGTTTGAAGAGCAGGTGAAGGAATCAGAGAGGGCGAGGGCGATCTACAAGGTGACCCGGCAGTCTTCACCTCCTTCTGTCTCACTCGTCCACGTCTGCAGTTTGCGTTGGACAACATCCCGAAGAGCAAAGTGACCTCCTGGTTTCCATCGCACGCGCTGAAGTCCCACAGGCGAATGAGTTGTACCAAGCGTTTGTCGCATTCGAGAAGCAGCATGGCGACAGGTGACGAGGATGAGGATGAGGATGAGGAGGGTGGCAGGAGGGTCACGGGGAGACGATAGGGAAGGGATCGAAGACGTCATCGTGTCCAAGCGACGCTTCCAGTACGAGGTCGCCGGTTTCTGGTTGGTTTGCTGGCGCTGAGATGAGGAGCAGGAGGAGGTGAAGGAGCATCCCTATAACTACGACGCTTGGTTCGACTACGTGAGGCTCGAGGAGGCCAATGGAGACGCGGAGAAGGTGAGAGGAGCGATGGAGGTCAAGGCGAAGCCGCTTGAGAAGCTCAAACGCCTGCAAGGTGCGGGAAGTATATGAGCGAGCGATCGCTCAGAAACCTCCATCCATGGAGAAGCGAGCATGGAGAAGGTAGTTGCCCGAGCGGGTGGAAGGAGGTGATGGCGGGGGCAGGTACGTCTACCTCTGGATCTACTACGCTGTCTTCGAGGAAGTCTCGCTCAAGGACGTCGAGCGAGCGCGACTGGTCGAGCGAGTCCTCGTGCTGACCCCACGAACCTGACGAGAGCGATGCAGGTGTACCGGGAGGCACTCAAAGTGATACCTCATAGGTTGACCCCTCCTTCCCCCTCCTCCCCCACCCCTCCTCCTTGCACCCCCTCACTTTTGCTCTCTCCCTCCTCCCCCCTCACTCTCTTCCCAGCACCTTCACATTCGCCAAGCTCTGGGTCATGGCCGCTCAACTCGAAATCCGGCAGAAGGACTTGGCGGCCGCACGAAAGGTTGAGGAGGTTGAGGAAGCGAGGGAGAAGTGATGGAGATTGCAGGTGTTGGGCCGAGCGATCGGAACTGCACCGAAGGAAAAGGTAAGGAGGAGGAGGGAAGTGAAAAGAAAGAGACAAGGGAGGAGGAGGGAAGTGAAAAGAAAGCGACAAGGGAGGAGGAGGGAAGTGACAAGAAAGGGACAAGGGAGGAGGAGGAGGATCTGACGAGCTTCGGTCAAGATCTTCAAGAGCTACATAGAGATGGAGCTTCAGCTTGGCAACATCGACAGGTTCGCCTGCCCTCCTCTCGCCATGTGCCCCCTGGCGCCTCCTGATCGTCCGCCAGGGTCCGCATGATCTACGAGAAGCAGCTCGAGTGCTTCCCTGCCAACTGTCGGGCATGGACTGGTGCTCTCCCTTCACTTCCTTCCCCTCTTCCCTCCTCCTCCTTTCCGCCTGCTCCTCATGGTTGTGTCCACAGCGTTTGGAGAGCTCGAGCAATCGCTTGGGGAGTTGGATAGAGCTCGTGCAATCTTCGAGCTGGGCATTTCTCAGGTCTATTCGGCTCCTGCTGCTGCTCCTCCTGCTTTTGCTCCTCCTCCTCCTCCTCCTTCTTTGCCTCTCGCTCTCCGTCATATCAGGTTGCAGTCGCTGCTGGACATGCCAGAGGTGCTGTGGAAGGCCTACATCGATTTTGAAGTCTCGGAAGGAGAGACACAGAGGGCGCGGGCCTTGTACAGCAGGTCCCCTCACCCACCTCCCTCCCTGTACGTAGCTGAGCAAGTTGCAGACTCCTGGAGAGAACCTCGCATGTCAAGGTCTTCATCAGCGCCGCTCAGTTTGAGAGCTCCGCGGGCGAAGCTGATCGAGCTCGCGCTCTCTACAAGAAAGGCGACAGGTCCTCGCCTCCTCACCGTCCCCTCTGCCCCGCCCTCCATCCCTACCTCCCCGCCCTCCATCCCTACCTCCCCGCCCTCCATCCCTACCTCCCCGCCCTCCATCCCTACCTCCCCGCCCTCCATCCCTACCTCCCCTGCTCAACTGCCCTCCCTCCCTCCCTCCAGGCTCCTCTTCCTCTCTGCCCCTCCACCTCCTCCTTTTGTTCGATCTGACCATGGCAAAGTGCCCTGCAAGCGTCGGACCATCCTACCGCCAAGGTCAGCAGCTCGAGAAGGAGAGAGGGGAAATCGGGAGGAGGACGAGGGGAGGGGGGGTGAGGAGGAGAGCAAGAGGAGGAGGAGGAGGAGGAGGAGGAGGAAGCTGATACGGCTGGCAGGAGGAGCGCGTGCTACTTTTGGACTCTTGGCTGGCGATGGAGGAGGTAAAAGCTCAAGCCGAAGTCAAGCCCAGCTGAATGACTGGCAGGGCCTCGGAGAGGCTGGCGATCCTGAAAGCGTCCGGGCAAAGCAACCGAAGCAGGTGGGAAGGGGAAGAGGAGAAGAGGGAGGGGAGGTGTATCTGACGCAGGTGCAGATCAAGAAGAAGCGACCGATCCAGAACGAGGAGGGGCAGGTGAGAGAGAGGAGGGAGGGGAGGGAGGGGAGTGACTCGAGGCTGCTCAGACGACAGGCTGGGAGGAGTACTTCGACTACATCTTCCCGGACGAGCAGAAGCCGCAGGTAAGCAGGCTGAGGAGGGAGCGAGGGAGGGAGCGAGGGAGAGAGGGAGGGAGGGAGCGAGGGAGAGCGGGAGAGAGGGAGCGAAGGGCTTGATTTGACTGGATGTCACGTTGCAGGCTCTCAAGATCCTCGAGATGGCGCACAAGTGGAAAAAGCAGAAGACAGACGAATAGACTTGAGAAGCGGGAGGAGGAGAGGGAGGAGGAGAGGGAGGAGGAGGAGGAGGAAGGAGAGTGGGAGGGCTGTAAAAGGGTCCGCCACTGTTCGAGTGATTCAATTGAAGTTTCATTTTCTCTCTCGCTGGGTCAGGCTCGGCACTTGCGGAAGATGAGGAGGAGGAAGACGGAGGAGAAGAGAAGCGTCACCTGCGAAGGACGAGAAGCTGATGAGAAACGAGAGAAGAGAGAGGAAGGAGGAGGAGGAATGGCTACCAGGTGATGTGCTGCTCTTCTTGTGGAGAAGTTGCAGAGATCTCCCGAGCATTCCTTACACTCGATGAGCTGCGCGAGATCGGTTAGCGACACTCTCCCTCCTCCTGATCCCCGTCCTCCTACCAGCTCCTCCTCTGACGCTACCACTAGCTCCTTCTCTATCCGCTACCACTAGCTCCTTCTCTATCCGCTACCATCAGCTCCTCCAGGGCCTCACTCACGTCGAATCGCTCCTCTGACTTGAAGTAGCAGTCAGCAGTACAGCCTGACGTCACCAGCTGTGAGGAGAAGACAAGAGGGTCGAGGGAGGAGGAAGTTTGAGATTACTGCTTGCAGCGGTGCCCAAGCACTGACTGGGAAGACAGGAACTCTTGACCTGGAAAGAAAGTGAGGGAGGGAGGAGGGAGGGAGGGAGACGAGAAGCTGCGAGGAACAAGGACGACAACGGAGGGCAAACGAAAGGAAACTGGGGAAGCGGAGCGTACCAACGAAAGAAGAGGTGGAAGAGGAAGAGGAAGAGGAAGGAGGGGAAGGAAGGGTGGAGGAGGACGAACTCGTCACGTACGGAGGTGGCGAAGGAGCATTTCCCGCAAGCTTTGTCGATAGTCCAGTAAGCAACTGACCCCTTGACGTAACGTGTCGTGACCTGCGACCTCTTTCACCTGCTGCTGCTGCTGCTGCTGCTGCTGCTGCTGCTGCTGCTGCTGCTGCGGCTCGGCCATATCCTCCTTTCCCTCCTTTCTTCCCTTTCACAACATCCTCGCGGTCTTCATCTTCCGTCCCCGCCTTCTCCTGCCACTCTCCTTCTCTCTCTTCCTCCCTTACCGTTGTCCGGCATGCATCGATGGTTCGATCGCACAGATCATAATCAAGACCCTGCCAGGTTGTGAGCCTCCTCACCCCCTCCGATACCTCCTGCCCCTCCTTCCCTTCCCCCTCCCTCTTCCTTGACTTGCTGCTGCCTCTGCTCCCTCCTCCTCCTCGTCACCTCCTTGCAATATGAGTTGCTGTCGCGAAGGGCGAGAGTGGAGGAGTCGAACTGAAAGAAGAGGAACACAAGTCGCGGTGAGGTTGAGCAAGAGATGTTAGCGAAGATAGAGCCTAAGCCTGGAGAAAGGGGAAGGAAGGGAAGGGAGGGAGGGACGGGAGGGAAGACAAGAGAGGAGAGGAGAGGAGAGTGAAGAAGAGTTTACCTGACAGGGAAGCACGCCAGTATCCGGGCAACCCGATGAGATGCGATAGTCAGAGCACAGGACGCCACTGCCTATGCCCATGCATCTGTCGCGAGTATGAGAGGAAACAAGGAAAGGATGACAGGTAAGGGGAAGAAGAAGATGGAGGGGAGATGATGCTTGAGGAAAAGGCTGAAAGAGAAGGAGGAGAAGGAGGGAAACAAGGATGAAAGATGAGGATGAAGCAGGAGGAGAGAGACGAGAGGATGTCTCAACCTGTTGCTCCATGTGTATGCGAAAAAGCCACTAAGATCAAGTGAGAGTCAACCGATTCAATCGAGAGGAGAGCGGAACGAAGAGAGGAAAAGAGAGGAGATGAGGGTAGGGCAGGGTAGGAGGATACAGCGAACTGCAGGAGGGCCAGTTCTTGACGTCGTAGGAGCTGAGCATACATCTGATTGCTTGCGAGGGCTGCGGGAGGGTGAGGGGGCGCGAGGGAAGGTGAACGATTCACCGTCAACCCAGAGACGAGGAGGAGGAGTAGAGGGAGGACGGGGCGACGCGTTTTCATGGCGTCGGATGCCTCCATCGACATCTCAAGTTGTCATTTGACCCCTGCCCTACTCTAGTGATATGCGCGTCATGAGTCAGAGATGCTACCAGGATCCTCGTTTGCGCTCCTCCTCCTCCTCGCGAACTCCTCTTCTTTGCTACTCTTCGTATACTCGCCTGCCTGTCTGTTCTGATCCCGCAAACACCTCAAGCTTCGGAGCCCTCTGCTTGTTGGCATATGCCTGCCCTGCACTGCTCTTACCTCAGGCCTGCCCTGCTCTGTCATGTCATGTCCTGTCCTGTCCTCGCCCGTGCTCTCCTCTCCGCCCATTCCCTCTCGTCTCTCATCTCTCGTCTCTCGTCTCTCATCTCTCGTCTCTCGTCTCTCGTCTCTCGTCTCTCGTCTCTCGTTTCGTCACGTCATGTCACGTCACGTCACGTCTTGTCTCGTCTCGTCACTCCTCTCCTCTCCTCTCCTCTCCTCTCCGCCCATTCCCTCTCGTCTCTCGTCTCGTCTCGTCTCGTCTCGTCTCGTCTCGTCTCGTCTCGTCTCGTCTCGTCTCGTCTCGTCACTCCTCTCCTCTCCTCTCCGCTCATTCCCTCTCGTCTCTCGTCTCGTCTCGTCTCGTCTCGTCTCGTCTCCTCTCGTCTCCTCTCCCTTCGTTGTCGCTCCCTCTCTTCACTTTTGACCTTCAGAGGTCACCAATGGGATATGAGGGTGATGAAAATAGGCTCTCCGACACCTGGTGATCGGACGGTGGCCCGGAGCCGTCACTGTCGCGGCCGCGGAGACGGTCCGGCGACTCGAGTCCGCCGCGGCCCGGCCGGGCCCGGCCCCCAGCGAGCCATCTGAGAACTCAACCTTTCAAGTTTAGGGAAGAGGTCTCAGTAGAACGCCGCGTAAGCCTCCCTCCAAGTTACGGTTCCGAACGGTTCAACCGGTTGTGTCTAACTTGCCAGCCTTGACCGTGAACCCGGTCCCGGACTGACCGGACGGTTGCCCACGGCCCGGTCCCGGGGGGCCGGGTACGGCCGTAATACCCGTGTAGTGACGGTGCTGGACTCGGGGCCGGGACTCCGGCGAGTCCGAGTCCGTCGGACTCCCGCGGGCCCGCGGGCCCGGCCCGGACACCATCCGACCCGACCCGGCATGACATGGCACTGACTCAGTGAGCGGCTAGGAGATGACTCAGAGTCCATTCAATGTGAGGGTGGGTAGTCAATCAGAGGGGTAGGGGGTACCTAAAAAATTATTGAAACGTAGGGTATATGAGGGTACTGGTTGTTGTGGGGGGGGTGATGGATTTTCAGAATTGGTTAGCGAGCATGGCGTGATGTCGAGGACGGAGGGAGAGACGCGAAGGATGAGAGGAGGAGGAGGAGGAGGAGGAGGAGGAGGAGTTAGGAGAGGAGAAGGACGACCCGCAGACGTTCTCCTCTTCCTCAGACTCCTCATGGCCCTCGGTGTCCTCATGCTCTACCTAAACTTGCAGGTCTCGCTCCGTCATACCTCGAGGTCTTCAAGATGATCGCTTGCCCGTCTGACGGCCTGACAGTTCGCCGGATGGCGCGAACAAGAAATTCGTGAGAGACGCGGAATTAAATCATCGCAAGCTCGGCCTGGATGCCTTCCTTTCTTCACAGAACAACGTGATAGACGACCTTTTGTTGCCTTTCCGAAACGACCAGGCCAAGACTCTCTGTGAGCTCTGGGCGATGGCTTACCACCGGATGAGGTTCAGACTATATCAGCAATTTCATCATCCTCCTCCTCCTCCTCTCCCTCCTCCTCCTCCTCCTCCTCCTCCTCCTCCTCCTCCTCCTCCTCCTGACATCATGATCTCCATCTCCACCTCCATCTCCATCTCCGTCTTCATTTCGATCTCCAGCACATGCTGATGCTCGTCGCCTTTCTCCTGTTATCTATCCTGCATCTTCCCTCCCCCTATTCTTGCTCCATCAGCGCGTAAATCTGAGTGCAAGGGCCACGGAGCACGACAAGTTCATGCCGAGGTCCATAGCAGGCGAGTGGAAGAAGCTCGGATGCGACAAGAAGCTGAAGGAGGTGAGCTCCTTGGGCTGCTCGACGGCTCTCACGAGTGTTTGACGGGAAGGGATCGTGGGGGAGCGAGGAGGAGGAGGAAGATAAGCTGAAGAAGAAGAAGGCGAAGCTCTCGCGTCTGGCACATGGGGGTCAGATGATGTCGGTCGCTTCCGTTGCCTGACAGTCTCGCTCAGATCAGTCCGCTGCCATGCTCACTCGCTACCCCAAGCTCTACGGCAAGCAAGCAGAGGAGCTTGTCGCGTCCAACTGGGATGACTTCGCCAACGGGTCGCTGGCAGCAGGAGCTGAATACCGTCCGCTGCCTCCTGACCTGATTATCAAAGTCCTCACCTTCGCTCGCCCCTCCTCTCTCCTCCGCCTCCTCCGCTCCCTCGACCTCGCCAACTACTCGCCAGACCGTGCAGACCTCGAGATCTGGATAGATGGGCCGAGCGGGGGGAGCAGAGACGAGGAGAGGAAGAAGACTCTGCAGGTGGCAGAGGAGTTCAGTTGGCGACACGGCAAGAAGACGCTTGAAGTCAGGGACAAGAACGTCGGGCTGGTGGGTCAGTGGCTGGGCTGCTGGCAACCCGAGGAAGGAGCGCGTCTTTTTGAGAGCATAGTTGTGATCTTCGAAGATGACATGGAGGTCAGCCATCTTCCTCTCTCACCTCCTCTGTTCTCACCTCCTCTCATCGTCTTCCTCCACCGCCTACTCCTGCCCCTGCTTAGTCGTCAACAGCGGAAGCTGCCGCTTACTTGTCCCAGGTTTCTCCTGTCTACTGGCGATGGCTCAAGAGCATGTGGCCGAGATACAGGCGCGCACTGGCGTGAGGAGGAGGAGGAGCTGTAACCTTGTAGCAGGAGAAGGCAGGATCTCATAGGCATCTCCTTGCAGACGCAGCATCTTGTAGCCTCGGACGGACGAGACAACTTGAGGTAGCGGGAGCTGCTGACGGCGGTGGGTTAACGTCGAGGACAGGATCGACAACGAGTACGAGCCCTTCCTCTACAAGGTCCCCGGCTCGTGGGGTTTCTCTCCGCATCCTCGAACGTGGCGGCTGTTCTTGCGATGGCAGCAGGCGAAGTCGGCGACAGGGTACGAGCCGGACGACCTCAAGTTCAGGGGAGGTGACGTCATCACATCCAAGTGGTGGAAAGACATCAAGAGGAGCGGGAAATCTCCGCGTATGTGGACCGCCTGGTGCATGCGGTTCATGGAGGATGAGGGGCTTTTCGGCATGTACCCCAACCTGCCCGGTCGAAGAGCCTTCACTGCGACGTGGAGCGAGCCGGTGCTGACCTCCTCCTCCTCCCTCCTCTCACTCCCGCATCCGTCCCCTTCCTCCCGCTCGTTCATCCACCTCCTGCTCTCTGCCTCTTCCTCGTCCTCGTCCTCACCTTCTTGCCGCCTCTCTTCTCCTTACACATCATGCATGTAGGGGGAGCATGATGCCGGGCACATGGGAGGACGCCTCTCGGGCCCCCTCCAGCGAGTCTGGGATGCAACGTGTGAGAAGTTCCCTGAGAGCCCCTGGAGGATCGACTTTGACGGCTCGCGCATCACCTCCCCGCCGCCTCCTCTCCGTCCCCGCCAGTGCGACCTGAGAGGGGTCAACGTGATCTTCGACGGCTACATCTACCACCTCACCAACGGGCGGCTGGACGGAGGAGTAGCGAAGATGTGGCACGAGATCGTTCCCTTCATGATCAAGGCCGTCACTCAGCATGGCGGCGACTTCACGCACTGCGCCTACTCGGACCACGTCCTCTTCTCGGGGGTGAAGAATCTCAACTGCCACTCGCTGCAGCGGGTGAAGGAGCTGCCGGGGGAGCACAAGGTTCTGTTTAGCTCCTACTACCAGGGCTCTCCCGACGCATGTTTCATCCACATGGTCTACGATCACATCCCCGAGCGCACCGGCATGGATGCAGGTGAGCCTCCCCTCCTCCTCCTCGCGTGACGTGGCGGCAGGTCCTGGCTCCGAGTACTGGCCGAGGATCGACAACCTCCGACACGCAGGCGGCTTCCTCTCCATCTCCAAGAGCACGACCGACGACCTCTGCGAGCTTTACGGCATGTGCGAGAGGAAACTCGTGGCCACCTCCGACAACCGTGCGGCCCCGATCTTCAAGCCGGCGAGCAAGGAGGAGGAGGAAGACTTTCGGGCGAGGTACGACCTGAGGAAGCCCTACATCCTCATCGTTGGGAAGCGATACGGATACAAGAACTACGACGTGTTCTGGGAGGGGCTCGAGGCGATGCCGCAGAGCTTTCGCTCCAAGTACATGGTCTTGCTGGTGGGACTACCAGAGGAGAAAGACCATGGCATCGGTGAGCTCTTCTTTTCGCTCCTCTTTGCCTCCCCCCCTGTCCTCCTCTTCGTCTTGTTCCTCCTCATTCTCGATCTTTACCACCACCATCATTCTGCTCCTCCAGCTCTTTCTCTAGCTCCTTTTCATACTCCTGCTCCTTCCTGCTCGCTCCTGTCCCCTGCCTGTATGTCTCCTCTAGTTTCTCAACCAGATCGGCAGAGGTCAAGGACGTCAAGATGATCCCCGAGAAGGACATGCCCACCCTCTACTCCGCCAGCGCTGTCTTCGTCTACACCTCCAGCTACGAGGGCTTCGGCATGCCTCCTGTCGAGGCTGCCGCGTGCGGAGCTCAGCTGATCCTCGGGCCCTTCCATCGCCACAGGATGCACCAAGTCTTCGGGGACCTCGCGCAGTACGCGGAGACCTCGGAGGAGATGGTTGCAGCCCTCACCAACATCGACACCGGCCGCGTGCCCGCTAGCTCAGCCCTCGTAGACCGGGCGAAGCTGTACGGGACGGACCCGCGCCATGGCTGGAACGAGGTAGCCAAGGACTACCTCGAGTACATGATCCACGGGCCCTTCCGCACCCACACGCTCGGAGGAAGAAACTGCCAGCCGCTGGTGCTGCGAGCATGACTTAGTGCCGAGCTAACGAGCATGCCGCAGGTGCTCGACCCGGACGACTGTCGCTTCGAGACGACACCGCATGGCCTCAAGCTCGCGTCCTAGTCCGGGCACTGAGCAGCCTCCGAGTCCTCAGACGCTCGGGCCGAGCCGGGCCTCGGATCATCGGATCTTCCTCTCTGCTGCCGCCGCAGTGCTTGCAGTGTGCCGCCCCCTGAGGCTCCGAGCCGCCAGGTCCGGTCACCTAGTATCCGGGCCGGCCATTATTGTCAAAAACATGTCACATGCTGAAGTCCGTCAAGTACTACCGGACTCAGTTGCGAGCCGATTATTGAGTCTAGGTAGGGCCGTTGATGCAACTCCGGGCATGACAGGTAGCCTTTACTTGGTTTTGGCGGGATGAAAATAGTTTGTGGGTCTTGATTTTCGCGGTAGTTTGAAACTTGTCTGAAAGTATTTCCGAATGCTCTCAACACTACCCGGTCTCAGTTTTTCCCATCATGTACCCACCTAAACCTTGAATGTCTCCACCCCAAGACAACGGGTCACCTAAGACTTTACTTCTTGCTCGGAACACGGCATGTACGGTACTACTGATCAACTCCCGGCCGGGAGTCCAGTCACAGAGTCTCAGGCTGTTTTGTTGCACACTGGGAGGCCAGGTGGCATGGCCTCCCAGTGTGCAACACTGGGAGGCCACTGTCCGACAGACAATGCCACTGTCAGTGGCAGACAATTATTCATCATACCTGGCACTGTCCCCGGGCCCGGGCCCGGGGGCAGGCCCCGGATGATCGGATGCCGTGTACCCGTGGGGGGCTTACAAGGTAAACAGAAGGGGTGCGTCTTGTGGAGTACGACCCGTTGGAAGCAGCTTGCTACCAGTAAGGGAATACTATCGGAAAGGTAACTGCCAGCCGACCGTGCCAGTGAGGTAAGCCACCGTGGAACTTGGCCCGCCGGAAGGCGAAGTTTTCTGAGTCCTGAGCACTCCAAGAAAGCGCAGAGAAGAGCGTGTCAGAGCTCATAGGAACCGAGCCCGAGTCAGACAAAGGCCTATCAGGATGAAAGGACAGTTGGCTGTCTCGTACTCGTGTTCGAAGCTGACTTCTCCTGGATGACCCAGGATACTCTACTCCAGTGTGAAGCTGCTGAAAGGACCCCTGTGGAGGCCTTTGTTGCAGCACTGAACCGTGTACCCGTGGGGGGCTTACAAGGTGAACAGAAGGGGTGCGTCTTGTGGAGTACGACCCGTTGGAAGCAGCTTGCTACCATGCAAGGACGGGGTTCTCTTCCCTGCGAGAGAGCATGGTATCCTCTCGAAGGTCAGAAGGGATGCTTGTCAACTTCCAAGAACAGGACACCCCTCCTTTCTGTAGCCAAGAGACGGCACCCCTGGCTCATTCCTCGAAGCTATAAAAGGATGAAATTCGTCAGAGCTAGGTGGTCCTCTTCCCCTTTCGTGTGTGTGTCACGATTGTTGAGACGTCTTTGTGTGTATCGTCTTGTCTTGTTTTGTGTGTGTGTGTGAAAGAAATAAAAGAGAGTTAGATCTCCTTCTGTTTCACCGCTTTCCCTCTTAGTAGAGAAATCCAACGTGAGTTCTTATTGAACTGCGCTTGAAGGTCCACTCGAGAATCTTCGAGGTGTGACAATGAGGAGAGAAAGGAAAGAGACTCAGAGAGAGATGAGAAACTAAGGAGAAACTTTGAGAGAAAGGAGAGAGAGAGAGAGAGAGAGAGAGCCTTGACTCGGAAACTAGAGGTTCAGACCCCCGGCTCACGAGTCGTGACTGACTTGAAATATGCCCGCCGGGCCGAGGGCCTCCGGCCCGGAGAGACCGGCGGTTACAGCGAGAGGACCGTTACGTTACGTTACTCATCAACCAGGGTGCACTTGAGTAAAATGTAGAATTGATAGGCGCTGGGGTCAGGGGTGATGACATGGGAAATGGGGGGTAGGGGTGGGTTTCGGACCTTTATCGCTTTCGTGCAATCAGGATACTTATATGGGTGGGGGTACCCAGGAGCCATTTTTAGTGGGTGGGGTGTATTAGATGAGGCTATAGGTAGACAGGGGTACAATGTGGAAATAAAAAAGATGGAGGGGTGGAGGTCAGAGGTTTTGGAGGGGTCATCTGGGGCTTTTAACTCCTCAGCAAGGCAAGGGGCAGAAAGCAATATCGAAGGGGGTGCCAGAATAGTTTTCAATTTCAAGTTTTGTGATCAATAGTTCAATTTTATATATATTATTTTTCATTTCTATCTTGAAATTACCTCAACAATTGCTCCACGATGAAATTGATCGGATGTGCCCTCCTTTTCGTTTCCCTCCCCCCTCCCAATCACCTCGTCCTCTTCGACTCTCCACTCCCGCATCCTGCTCTGCTTCCCGCCCTCTTCGCCTCAGCTCTCTCTCTCTCTCTCTCTCTGCTCTCTCTCTCCTCCTATGATCTGCCTGCTTCCTGTTCCGTCCCCTCGTCTCTGTTGCTCTTCCCTTCAAACCCCATTTTTATCTCGGTGATTCTTGCAAGCCGTCTCACTCCTTGCTTCACTCTGAGATCTCATAACATAGCTGTTTCTCGATAGATTTGAGCTTTGTCCGAATATTCGGCCCCTTTGAATGCGATTCTGTCTTGTGTCTCCTTAGCCAAGCAGGTGGGAGATTGAAAATTTTCTATACGTCAAGGATCGAGTAGTCAGATGCACAGCGCTTGCTCAGTTCTGGATTCGTTTCCTTGTTTCCTGGTTTTGTACATAGTTTGTGCATAGTGCGAAGGTGTAGTGCATCGAATTGTCCGCCTGTTGAGTTCATCTTTTGTTTTAACGTGTTGTGCAGGATCTTTTCGAGGTTGGAAACAAATCCCTAACGAACACTTTTTCGCGTCTGATAGTCTCAAGGGCCATACCAGGCAATCATCATGGGCTGCGGAGCATCTTCAGCCGATACCACTCGTACCAATGACCCGACATGGAAGGGTCAGGTCAAGGGAGAAACCATCATTGCAGGGGATCCCCTGGAAAGCCTCCACATTATCACTCTGATTTCTTCTGCGGAAGCAAAGGAGATCTCCGACAAAGATTGCAATGAGATCTGCAGCATCCTAGCCAGCGAGACGGGACTACCTCCAGGCAACTTCAAGATCCTACAGAATTGTGTCATCATGAACCACCTTCACGTGAGCATCGCAATCAACACGTCGAACTGGTTATCTGTCTACCCTAAGATCGAACGGAAGGTGCAAGAGGAACAAGGCCCCTTCCGCAAGTACAGCATAGAAGCTTGCGCGACGGGGTCTACAAAGGCTGTGAAAATTCCAAACAAAGAAGAAGAGACGACGAAAAGAGGAGATGAGAATGACGATTCCGTCGAAGACCTCAGGGAGAAGATCCAGGAGTACCAAGACATGGTGCAAGACCTTCGCTTTGATCTCGAGCAAGCCAAAAGAGCGTCCATGGCTTACATTCAGGTGGTGGAAGAAGAGAAGGAGGAATTCAAGGACAACAATGCAGATTTAGCGTTCGAGCTGCGACAGGCGAAGGCTGCAGCTCAGCATTACTCAGACATGCTTCTTCAGGAGAATGCTCAACTAAAACACGAGCTGGAAGAGCTCAAGAAGTCCAGCAGTCAAGCCAGTATGCCGGTTGGAGATTCGTGAAGTTAATTGAAAGATAAGATTGTGAATATGTTGGTTGAGAGGAGAAAGACATTAGTGTAAATCGAAATAAAAAGTGTCTGATTTTATCATCTACATCTTTCCGTGTATCTGATAGCATGGTGAATCGCAATATTCCTCCTGCTGCTCCACCCCATTTTGTATCTTTGTATCTCACTGACCACTCTTGCTTGTGCTCTCTTCAACCCATCACCTTGTCTGCTCGTGAAAACCTCTTGCAGTCAAGAGCTTGTCAGTCACAGGATCGCCACAACGTGCAGCATGCTGACCTATCTCTCTCTTCCCCCTCCTCCCAACATCTCCGTCTCCCCGTCATCTTGTTGGGATGTTTAGAGGGTCCCCGAGGGGACCTACCCCACCCATATACTCAGCAGCACCATGTAAAGTTGTACCCCTACCCCGTAAAAGACTGATTTGTACCCCACAGCTTGACGATACAATCTTCAAAACAAGGTCCACTACCCCCTCTTAATCCGCACCACCCCAAGAGGGTATAACTATTGCGAGACAGACGGCAGCGCGACTTGCTCCTGCTCCTGCTCCTGCTCCTGCTCCTGCTCCTGCTCCTGCTCCTGCTCTTCCCCACAGCTTCCTCCCTCCATCTTGTCTTTGGCATCGACTTTCTTGGCTAACGCCTCTTCATCGTGCTCTGTCGATGTGCAGAACTGTCGCGATCAGCAATCTCCTACTATCATGGATTCTTCCTATTCTTGTGTAGAGACATCTTGCCTCAAGTCTCTTCTTAACGTCATTACCTGTCGAAACTTCTTTGCTTCTTCTCAGTTTCGATTGCAAAGATTTCGAGCAATTTCCTTCGCCCTCAGAACACGATTCTTGTTCCTGCTTACACTTGTTCCAGTCCTCGTCCTCGGCAACATTCCTCCGCAGGACATGAGAAACATGGTTCGCTGCTATGGCGGCATGCTGGTGAACTCACCGAGCTACGAGACCATCAGCGCGAGTCTCGACTTCCATCTCTCGCGCAAGGAGCGGACCCGACATGAAGGCGGCAAGAACAGCACAGTGACATTGAAGCTCACGACTCAAGCTACTGATGACGCTAAATGATCTTGCTGCCTTAGTCAAAGTGAAGCAGGCTATCTTGCTAATGAAGTATTTGAGCAACCTTTCCTTGCAGATGGCCATGTAAGCGTGTCCAGCAGTGGACTCATACATGCTCTTCATGTCACCACATCCTTCCTATCATCGCCTCCTACATGAACATCTCTTCACAATCATCAACTATCTGCTCAGTTTCCAGCTCAGCAACCATCACTCCTCCATTCTCTTTCGCGCCAACAAAACCTTCCCGCAAACAGGCTGACTCTCGTCCTCCTCCTCATCATTCATGTGAACAAAAACATGATGTACTCCTGCTGTCACTCAACGTTCGGTCCTACTGTCTCGATAGTTCTCCTCCTTTCTTCTGCACACCGATCTTGATCAGCTTGTCTGCACCTGCTGTTCTTTCTGGACTCAAGTTCCCTCCTCCTCAGCATCTCCCTCGTTTGAATGAATTCAATGGACACACATTTCAAGTCCTGACTCTCCCCTCCCTCCTCTGTGCCTCTCTTTCTCTCTTCCTCTCGCTCTCTTCGCTCCCCCTCGCTCGCTCGCTCTCTTCGCTCCCCCTCGCTCGCTCGCTCCCTCGCTCCCTCCCTCCCTCGCTCCCTCCCTCCCTCGCTCGCTCCCTCGCTCGCTCCCTCGCTCCCTCGCTCCCTCGCTCCCTCGCTCCCTCGCTCCCTCGCTCCCTCTCTCCCTCCCTCCCTCGCTCCCTCCCTCCCTCTCTCCCTCCCTCTCTCCCTCCCTCCCTCTCGCTACCTCGCCATCGCTGTTTGGATGATTCAGGGATTGCGATTTCATCTCGATTTAGATGGGGTGGGTACCAGGTAGGGTCTGCGTAACAATGGGGGGTTCTATTCCCAGGACAAAGAGCAAAATAAGGGGTGGGGGTAATCAAATTTCATGAGTCACTCTGGGTGGGTGGTAGCATAGGTGACACGAGCGCAACCATGGCAGAAGACGAAGTGGATCAGGTGAAGAGGAGGAGGAGGAGGAGATGCACTATCATCACCATCAAGAGGATCGGAGGCAGAATCAAGAGAAGCAGCAGCAACAGGACGGTAGAGGGTGACGAGAGGAGGAGCGGGAGAGGGAGAGGGATAGGGAGAGGGAGAGGTGTAACGACGGGCCGACGGCATGGCACAGTCGCACCTCTCGTCTACATCCGCTCCTCTATGGACCTCGGGAGCGATGTAATTCAAGGTCCCCCCTTGGTGAATTGTCTGAAGATACGCTCCTTGCTTGTCCCTTGCCAAACCAAAGTCGCAAACCTGAGGAAGCACAAGAAGAATCAGCGACCACAATGAGTTGAGCGCCGACCACATCTTGACTACGTACCTTGACGATCTCATCGTCCTGACACAACAGAAGATTTTCTGGTTTGACATCTCTGTGTACTACTGGAGGGTTCTGCCGCCGACATGTTTCAATGACAGCATATTCACAGTGACCATATCAGTTACCTGGGAATGTAAGTACAGAAGGCCATTCATGGCTCCGAGAGCTATATCAAGTCGTTTGATCAGGTTGGCATCTTTGCCTTGATTGCGCAAGAAATGCCTCAGATCGTAGTCCATGAGCTGCAAAATTCCATCATTCATGAATCATCAAGATTGATGCAGGTAAAGCAGCAAGAGAAGACTCCAAAATGATACAAAGATCCATATCAGCGACGAAGGGGAATA